TACGAGTTTGCTGATAGTTGATAGAATGGAATTTTTGTGACGTTGATTGGTACACTCAGAAGCAAAACATCACATGTGCAAATTTACATTACACCTCAAAACGGCATGCGCACGCATGCGAAACAGGATATCTTTGACTTCTGGAGAAGTCGTCTACTAGTATCCCACCAGTCATCACTCCGTACAGGCTTCCACATTGATTGGGTCGCTGTAGTAGAGCATACAACAACTCCAATTTGGTTCGCTGTCTACGACATGCACTAATAAAACTCTGCATTCTGTAATGCCGTTATATACTGTTCCTGTGCATCCAAATAAATCGGTCCGTCTTTGCTCGCTTTTTAGTGCACGTCGTTTCATAAATTTGAACGAAACATGTCAGCAGCAGAAATTTTGCGTTCGTAAACAGCTGCTTAATAAAGTCACCGACTGATGGCACCCCTTAGCCCATGCTAATTAGGACTGGCCCTTCCAATGCATGGTCTAGTCAAAATGCAAACATCAGCTTAAATCTTAGCCAGTATTTCATGTAGCATGAACATTACTATTGTCCAGCATTATAATACTGTGAACAAACAAACATGCCATTCACTGCTAAGTCAGCTAGCTACACACATGGAGCGCTATGCTAGACACACACCCCCCCATATAACTTACTGTACCACCCAACACTGTTTTGTACACATGCAGTAGTCGTATTTTCACAGATATTTTTCATATCGCATTAAACCATTCATAATAGCAGAATATAAAAATGAAGCAGAGCATCATGGGTATTTTTTAGTTGATTGTGTCTAAGCCACTTTAAAATCACCTTCCATCGACCTGGTCTTCCACATAAACTTCTACAGTTTATAACACACATTATGAAAAGTTACTGATTAAGTATTTCAATGTAAAATGTTGTAGTTTGGGTGTATTTGAAGACTAAACTTTAGTTTTTTGTCATAAAAATGGGAATTTTGTTTATGTTTGAGCTTAACCCCACTCATAAAGACAGGCTCTTTTTTCGGATTAATAACTCGCTGTTTATGTGACTTTTTGGAGTAACTCCCTGTGACTTTTTGGAGTAACCAGCTGTTTATGTGACTTTTTTTGGTGGAAAGTCAGTTGCTGAGTATTTTGGGGGTTGCACACTGTTCGAATGTTCAGTAGTGAATGTCTTGCTTGTTTGTTCAAGGTATTATAATGA